GGCATGGTTCATTGGGAGCCACTCTGTAACATTTTCTTAGAGGTTCTTTTAATTATTTTTCCTCCATATTTGCCTCTGATTTGGCTGATCTCTCAACTGATTTTACCAACTCCCCTTTGGTTCGTGAGCTCACTTACTAACCCAAATCCTGTCAGCTTGCTCTGTTTTGGTCTGGTTTAGCTGGGCCTGCTGTCTAGCTGTCATCTTAGAACTAACCTTTATCGCTTTTCTAAGTTGCAATTATCATTTTCTTGATTATGTATTTATCTTTGACTTGATTACTACCTTGTTTTGTTGGAGCACATGACATAACTTCCTAAGAGAAGTCCTCCAGCAGGCAACCTTTCTAAAGGACTGAAAATATTTATATTGCCACCACATACCTACTTGATAATATGTTGAAAATAGAATAGTAGAAAGATATTTTCTGAGGATTTGAAGGCATTTATACATTGACATTTAGCATCCAATATTATGAATAAAAAGTCTGATGCTGGTCTGATTTGTAGATGACTTTCCCACATCCTCAAAATATTTTAGGGTCTCCTTTTTATTCTTATTATTCTAAAATTTCTTGAGAATATATCCAGGACAGGATTTTTTTTTATTAATTGTATTGGGCATCCAGCACACCTTTCTTTTTAATAAAAAAAGAGAAATATAGAGAAAAGTAATAAGATCTATGCACAAATCCATAATTAACAACAAACATTAGCATTTTATTGTATTTGTTTAAAATATTTTTATTAATAGATCAAACTAAGCTACATATATTGTTAGTCACATTCCTTCATCCCTTCCCAGAGATAATTGATACTTTAAAATTGATGTGCATCTTTAAGTCTCTATTTTTAATTTTGCTATAAATATATGTATTCAAAATAATATATAGTGCTCTTTCATATGCTTAAAATTGCATAAATGGCATTATACCTGTCTACTAATTGCTTATATTACTCAGCCTTAGGTTTCTGAGAATTGCCTAGACATATATAGGTATCTAGTTCAATCATTTTTACTGCTTTATAAATTCTATTAAATAAGCATATGACATATTATTTAAAAACCAACATCAAACATCAAGCTTACTAATGAAATATTGAACACTATTATCAGAAAACAGACATGTATGCACTGTATCATCAATACTGTCGTTTGGAGGATCCTGACAGTGAGATGAGATTAAAAAAAGGAAATAAGCTATAAAATACTGAATAGAAAGAGATAAAACTGCCATAATTTATAAACTATGTTTGTCACTTCAAAAGTCACAAAAAAGGGGTGAATAAAATTAATAAGAAAGTTAACCTAAAAAGACACTGACTGTAGAATGACAATGATACACCAAAAGCTTTTATACAAACCAACATTAATTGTTTCCTATTAAATTTATTTTAGAATGTGTGTGTGTGTGTGTGTGTGTGTGTGTACAAAACTCAAAAGGCACAGAAGACAGGAAAAGATAAATGAGTCTTTTATTGACCTTTACCAACATAAAACCAATATATCAATCTCAAAGCAAAAATGCTAAGCATTTTTTGTGTATCATTACAAAGATAATCTATACAATATTAGAAAATGTAAACACATATATGAGAGTATATAATGTTATACTGCATATAATTTTTATGATAATACACACAACACTGTAAGTTCAACGTGCTTTTTTCTCAGACAAATAACGTAACTTTGGTGAGGGAAGAAACCAGTCTCTGGTTTCCCATGGCGCTAAAGTAGGCAGGGTGGGAGTTCCTAAGTTCCCTGTGGGCCAGAGTATGTCCTGAGAAGGTGCCTGGGGCAGAGGCCTGCTCACAAGCACCAACACACACGCCACCTGCCATGGGCCAGCCAGTGAGCTGAGGGTCCCCGAATCAGCCAGAGGTTCCTGGAGGAAAGGTATGCCTCAGGAGGGGCTTTTTACCAGAAAGCCACAGTGGGGTAGCTGGGCTGGCTGCCTGAGGGTCCCAGAGTGTGCCACGCTGTAGCGTGAGAAGGGAGCGATGAACGAAGGGTGCGGGGCTGATCTGTTATCCTTCTGGGGAAAGAAGTAAGGTTGGGTCACAGGGGCCCCCTTGCACAAAAGTAAACCCCAAGTAGGTCTGTGAGACAACCCTTTCCGTGGAAAGGTATGAAAGAATAGGCAAACCGTATAGGAGACCCTCTTTGTAATTGGGGAGTGGGGAAGGATGTCCCAAGCCACACACAAACCCAGGAGGCGAGAAGGGAAAATGAGCCTGCAGGGTGAACAGGAGGCCATGGACAAAGAGAGGAGGGAAGCGCCAGAGCGGGAGGTGATGCGTGCAGCATGGCCAGCAGACAAGGGATGGGTCAGTCCTCTGCAGGACCGGGCTGCACTGTGCTGCAGTGCCCATCTGCATCTTAGACCAACCAGTGGCCCCTGGAAGGGAAGCAAGAGCCTGTCCTCGCCACAGCTGTCAGGCTCTAAGCTGAATGGTGCCCTGGTGGCTCAGGGAGTGACTTGGTGAGGGCTGCGCCTGTCCATGGGTGGCACTTCCAAGTGAGGGGATTGTGATGGAAGCTGCTCTGAGAGTGGCACAGAGGGTCTGGTGAGGATGCAGAGTCTGAGACCAGAAGGATCAGCTGAGAAGCTTCATGTCTGCAACCTTTGTGTACGCTTACTCGGGGGAGGACTGCCAAATCACAAAATCGCCAGAAGTACAGGCTGGGGAGGGCCCTGGGAGTCAGTGGGCAAGCCAGGCACCTACAGGCACCAGATGTAGACGTAAGCACGAGATGAATAAGAAGCAAAACCAGGGCCTTTCTGAGCCAAAAGGCAGTCTGTGGGGGCAGCTCCAGATTTACACAAGAGACAGGTTAGGCTGGGGCAGCCCCATCAAGGCAGGGCACCTCCCCACAGAGTGTGATAAGCTCAAGCTTTGATGACCTTGTCAAATGGTTACCCTGGGGAGGCCCAGAAAAAAACCCTCTGTTAGCTGCAGCAGGCTGGTAGGTAAGTTTTGTGCCTGGTGGTCCCGGGCTGTTTCATTTTGAGCTAAGTGTAGCAGGGGGCACCATAGCGATTCCAGTGCCCTGAATGTCTGAATCAGGCCCTGAGGGGCAGGCATGCTCCCGACTCCCCTCGGGTCCCTAGGCAGAATCCACCGGGACCTGGGCTCCTGCCCTGGTGAGCACAGCAACCAAGCAAAGGATGAAGGGCAGGCCAGAGGCCCGAGCTTCCAGGCACGGGGCGTGTTTTGGGGAGGGTGGTGCCAGCAAATGGAGAGGGGGCTCTGGGCTTGGGCCAAGTCCACCACCCGTGGAGACACTCTCCACACCTGCAGGCTTCCCTGTGGCAGAGTCGCTCAGGAGGTGGGCAGAAAGTCTCCGAGGCCCCTCCCTCTGTGCGTAGGGAGTCAGCTGTGTCAAAGTGCTGACTCTGAAAGTGCCAGGTGCCTGTCTGGCAGACGGTGGACAACTGCCAGTGGTGGACAATCCACTTGAACGGGGATTGGGCAGCATGCAGGGGAGTAGGCAGGGCATGTTAATGTGGGACCCAGGTCCAGGAGGGAGAGAGCTTCCTCTGCCTTGGTGCTGAGATTAAAGGGGCTGAGCGATAATGTGTCGCTGAAGATAGCATTGGCCAAGCAGGCTCCACTAGGACAAGCAGACACAGCGTTGTCTACAGGGCAATCCTACTTGGGAAGCAGAGTGCCCAGCCCGCCTGGGAGAAAGGGGTGGTGGCATTAGCAGATCTCAGGAAACAAGGCAGGGCCCCAGGAGCTTACAAAAAGCCCCCTGGGGGCAAGGGGCGGGGATGCAGGAGACTTGCTGGGGGTGTGGTGTTGCAGCAACCACAAGTCACTTGCTGGCCATCCACGCCGCCAGGGCCTGGGCAGAGGCAGCGTCCCCATTCCAGGTTGGAGGATTCCCCAGAGATGGCCTTGGGACCTGGCAGGTGCCCAAGCCTGCCAGTCAGCCCAAGGCATGGGGCGATGGGTGCCGGCAGCAGAGCTGTAACCCACCTGCAGCCCAAACTCTGGGAGAAGGGAGAAGAAAGAAAGAACACGATGCTCTGGATGGAGGAGAGCAGTCAGAAGGCAGAGCACTTCCAGAGCACAGATGCCCTGGGCGCCATGGCCCAGAGCAGCATCCCAGGGAGACCAGGAGTGGCCCTGAGGCACAGAAGCACCACTGCCCAAGGGAATCTTCTTGCAGACCATGTAGGCCGGGGCTTTGAGGAAGAGCACCACTGCTTGACACACCAGAAACATGCAGGGAACCTGGCTTTGGTGATGCAGGGGCCAAGTCCTGCTGGCAGGGGTCTGGAAATATTGGGAGGAGGGTGGCAGAGTGAGTTGCCCAGATCCATGGAGTGGGGTGGTGTGCAGGGCTGGGTTCTTCCTTCCCTCCAGGGCTGCAGGGAGCTTGGGTAGGGGGAACACGGATGTCTCCTGATGGGCGGACCAGCCACGGCCCTGCCAAGCACCCTCAGCATCTGCCCTACCACCCCCACGGGGAGTTCATGGAGGGCTCCACTGTCCCCTTCCTGGATCCCACCGAAGGTACCCGGGGTAGGGCAAAACGGAGGCTCCCCCAAAGGAAGCAGGGGCCAGCCCTTCTCACCTGCCAGGAATTTGGGCTTGGGATCCCAAGGAGGGGAGGTCACCTGCACGTAGGTTTAAGAGCTGCTTCACGGGACAGAGAGAACTACACAGAGAAGGTACTCAGCAAGTGGCAACCGTTATTGCTACAATAGTGCATGAAATGCACAAGGATGGGTGGCTGAGTGGTCCCCAAGGGTGTGTGGACACCCTGCCAGTCAGCGCGAGGGTACTGACCTTCCTCCCAAGGCTGGCAGTCAAGGCAAGACAGCTTCTTGGAGGCATTTCTCTGGACCAGGCGCCAGGCACTGTGCCGCCTGCTTCAGGGGTATTGTCTCTTTCAGTCCTTCCCACACGCCATCCTAATTCCACCAAAGCCCCCTCTGCTCCCCCACTCCTCACCTCTCACCCCCAGCACCCCCCTGAGCCTCATCCTGAACACTGCAGCCCACCTCTACCTCTGCCTCCTGTGAGCACTGATCAGCGTGCATCTGTCAGGCAGCAGATGCCCCAGTTAGTTAGCGCTGACCATGTTTCTGTGTCTTTCTCTTCATGCAGACTGTAAGTTCAAGGACACGTTCCATGCCCCGTTTTTGCCCATCAAAGCACACGACTTTATTGATGATACATACACATGTAGGCATGGGTGGATGAGGTCAAGTCAGTGCAGCACATAGAAAGGGAGTGTACTCTTTTGAAGAATAGGCTTGCCGTCCATCAGCTCACATGGAGGAAAGAGTAGATGAAAGAGAATTCAACCTAAACCGCAACAAATGCATGTTCAGCACAAACTCGGGTATGTAGCTGGTCTCCACGAAACGGTCCAGCTTAGACAGGGAGGCCAGCACAGGAAAGGCATCCCTCGTGATGCTATAATATGATGCTCTGTATCCGCAGCTGGCAGCTGAAATGACCCCTTTTACCACAAGAAGAAGGCTGCTGTAAGGGAGTAGTTGTCAATGCGCACTGCCTGCGGACTGCACCGCCAAGAAGCTACTCAAAGCTCTTTGAGCCCCTGCCTGGCCAAACAGAGTGTGCTCCTCCACTTAGCAAGTGTGACTTTCACGCCAGGGTGGGGCGATTGGCTGAGGCTGGATCTTTGAGACTGCAGAGTCTTTGAGTGGGAGCACAAGTGGGCATGTATTCACCAAATGGCTTTTGGGCGGGTTCAGTTCCAGTGCGTTCAGGATGGCCACTTAAGAGGCCATGGTGCCCGGCAGAACCTGTCTGTTTCCATTCCTGATAAAGAGGGACATGAATGACAGCAGCATTTGGGCACCCAGCAATTCCCCTGCCAAGACTGGCTTTTCAGACAAACCCGTCAACGGTTTCAAACCCTGAACCTCAGCACATCCTCTTCCCTCTGGTGTCAAAGGAAACTCCAAGTCTGCAACGGACTTGGCAAGCATGTTATTAATAACTGTCATGCTCATTAGCAAATTTAATCCGGCCTGATGCAGAAATGAGTTGCAGCAATGTGACACAGTCTCCCGACACACTTCACTGATGTACATCTTAATCTGGCTCTGATTTTCAGCCCTCGCGTTCAAGTTATCCAGGGCACGCAAAGCCTTCTCCTTGACAGCGGGGTGGGGAGTGGGGATGCAGTTCCCAGTGGAGAGGCTGGCCCAATGACTGCTGACATCATGGATAAATGAAAAGCCAGCGTCTTTGCACTGAGCAAACAATATTTTACCCTGAATGAAAGGACACTTGGAGAGGTCAAGAACACAAGTGACATTTTCAATATCTCAAGAATCACAAAAAAGTCATCACTTTCATTAAGGAAAAGGTGATTTTTCATTATTGGGATGGTATCCTCTTTAGGAGGCCCTGGGTCCTTACTGGCTATTCAGCCTCATACCCAGCAGTTTGCCTTTCCTGGATCTTTAACTAATCTCAGAACCCTTGCCTTTCTTACTGAACTCTCTATTCTTCTGGTCTTTTCTTACTGTGGTTGTATCCGCCTCTGATTAGTAGGTGAAGGCTGCAGGAACTTCAAGCCCTGACCTCCAGACTTGTTTTCATGAAATTACCATTTTAAGCACATCCTACATTTACAACAAGTCACCAAAGGCTCCCACTCTTGAAAAAGCCTTGCAGTTCTGGTGCTCTAGGAAGGAGATTGTTGGATGTTCTCTTCCCCCACACACACTGCACTCTCATCTTGCATTGGTACTCGGGGCAATGCATGTACATAGAGCTTCCATCTAAGTCTCTGCAGATAGACATGTCAACCCTGAGGGTACAAGGGTATCAGTACTTCTGTTTCCTGATTTAATGTCTTCGTTTTCATGTTGTTTCCTCTTTACCTCCTTTAAGCTCATTCCCAGTGTTTTCTCAGTGGTACATTTGACTTTTCCAGCACCAAAGTAAGAGGGGAGGAGAACAAAGGCTGGGAAAGGGAAAGGTTGAGTTGCCTCTAGACCCTGCATTCTGACTCTGAACTCCATCTCTATCTGCACTCCTTATCTCCAGGATATCACACTGTGTGTGAAGCAGTTTCCTTCCTTCCTTGCCTGGATTTATGTCTACAAGTAGACAGAGAAGAGAGAATGGAGGCTGGTAGATGCACTGCCACGTAAGTGCCTTCTCTCCAGAGGGAGAAATCTAGTTTCCAAATGTCCTTCATTTTCGTCTCAGGCACATCCTCCATTGTGCCCTCCAAATACTTTCATCACCCCGACCCTCCCCGACAAATGCCCATGTTTTCCATTCGCCTGTCCCCCAGCCACTCTCTTGACCTTTCTCTCCCTTCAAATGCCCATTTTTCTGTTCTTTCCACTCAAGAGATATTAACGTTGCTTTTCCAGAGCCAGAAAAGATTGGAATTAAGTAATGCTTTTCTGAAGACGGGACAAGAATGGGAGCGTGGGTTCTGGTTTCACGCTTACCTCTACCACCACCTTGTGACCAGCTCAAGACCCCACATTTCTTTGAAGGAATGTTCATTTCAGTTTCTACTAAATTTCCGGTAAGGTTTTCCTCTTCCTTTTTCCTGGGTTGTGCTGCCCCCTACAGACACACAAGCAAACCAATAGGCAAGGATTGCCAAGCACACTGCTGGGCGGTAGTCCATAGTTCCTACTTTCTATTGATTGAGGACTCTGTCAAAAGACTCTCACCTCTCATTCCAGGATCCTAGCATGACCTTCCCTCCACCCCAACCACATGCACCATTTAGAGAACTAAAATAAGCTGGTGGGTACCTGGGAGTGTAGACAAATCTGATTCTGCCCCTTTAATCACTGCCCTACCCCTGACCCTACAATTCCCCAAGCAATGTTCACTCTCCCACCAACCTGCACTTAACCAAAGCAGTTTCTTCACTAGGCTACAAACATATTTCTCTAAGGCCACAGGGAGCTAATGGTTGGACCAAAAAGACCACCTCTCCACTATTCTTGGTTGCCTGACATACATGTCACCAAAAAACCATGATCCCCAAGTTCCCCTCCCATCAGCACTAATGCCAGAGTGTGCCCTCCTTTCCCCCTTTCTCCCAGTACACCAGACATGTCACTCACTTTTTTCTTTACAAATCCTAGAGGCCAAAAGAAAATTCTTTTCCATCTTGTTAAAATTTGCCTTCCTCTAATTTCCAGGGAAGGAATCTATCTTCGTCTGGAGCAACTATTTTTCTTGTTATACTTCTCTGTCTTCTCTTAGAATACAGGGCGACAACTCATCTTTTCACTTCCCCTTCTCTCAGCCACTAATACCAATCATCTTTCTTGGATCCACGAGAAAGCAGAATGCAAGAAATAAGGCATTCAGAGAAAGATTTTGAAATATTTATTGATTGATTTGCTCATTTTTCTTCAAAATACTTGCTTTTAAAAAATGATTTGTACATGATTTTATATGTACAGGGAGTTTTCTGGAGTGATGTTTGCCAAAATGTCACCACTGGTTATTCCAAGGATGAGATTCAAGGCAAAACACATTCTAGCTGCAGTGGTACATGTGAATGTCACTGGGACATGGAGATGAACAGATCTGTCTCTTACACAAGATAACCTGGCTTTCCACGCAAGCCCTGACAAGGCAGCATTTAGCTTGCTGAGTTCACCACACTCTAGGCTCCAAATCTTAATTTTTGTCTTCAGATAAAAAATAAGCACAACCTTATACATAACAGAAATGCCTATAAGTGTTCACCAAAAGACTCGTACAAGAATGTTCATAGTAGCACTATTTATAATTGCTCCAAACTGGAAACACCCCAAATACCCATCAATAGTAGAATGGGTAAATAAAATACATTCACAAATGGGGTTTATATTCACTAATGACAATGAATATCATACATGCAACAGTGTGGGTTAATCACACAATACGAGCAAAAGAAAACAGATGCAAGGGTATATGTTGTGTGATCCATTTACATAAAGCTTAAGAAACATACAAAACTATGATGTCTGAAGTCAGAATAGTAGTTACCTTGGAATGCATTATTGACTAGATGGGGGCATGGGAGAAGCTTCCATTGTGCTATTAATATTTTGTTTCTTGCTTACTTTGTGAAAATTTATTGAGCTGAAGACTTGGGATTTCTCCACTTTTCTGTATATATGGTATACTTTAACAAAAATTGACCAAAAGGTCCCAACAGTTAGTGAAGTGGTAGGTGAGTAAATGAAACTTATCCTCCTGCTGATCTGGGGAAGCTGGACAAAATGCTTTTTTTTATTTACCTGAAAGCACTAGAGAGCCAACAAAATACTGAAGAATAGGTGGTTCAAAAAGGAATGCAGAAAGTTGAGTTTAATGTTAGGGCCACTTTTCCCAATGGAGCATTTGCAGTTATAGAGGGGTCTGTTGGGAGGCTGTACAGAGTTCTGTATGACCTCTGGAAGGTATAGAGGCAGATATTAGAATCCAAACTTTGCCAAGTAGTGTACCTCACAAAGCCCAGTGCTTTTGTATTGTGATGGTGAAAGAGCTGTACTTCAGAGTCAGCATGAGCAAGAGGTAGACAGGCTTTTACAAGGATTTCAGTTTAACTTTGAACAATCTCAGTCACTAGAAATTAAGGTAATGCCAGTGTATTAATGTCCTAGGTGCCTAGCAGACAAATACAGCAAATTCTGTTTGGAAAGAAATAACATCAGCATCAAGTTATTTCTGAAGTTTTGCAAAATACAGTATCTGGCACACAAGAGAAAACAACAAAGTACACAAGAAGACAAGGCAAAATTAACAAAAGCCACCAGAAATGACAGACAATAGAAAAAGATTTGTGGGTGTGGGTCTCAGTTATTAGAGTTATCAGACATAGATTTAAAATAAACATGTTTTCTATGCTTAAGGAGAAAAAGGACAACATAGAGAATATCTGCAGATAAATGGAAACTATAAAAAAGTATAAAACAGAAATTCTAGAACTGAAAAACAGAATAATCACAATTAAGAACTGAATGGATAGATTTAACAGCAGAGTAGATAAAGATAAAAAAGAAAATTATTGATCAGGAGGGTAGATTGGAAGACACTACCCACAATGGATCCCAGAGTCACAGAAGGGTGAATAAGTAGAAGTGAGTAAGAGACAGAAAATAGAGAGAGAAGGTTTAACGTAGGTATACTTGAAATTCAGGAAGAGAGAAGGGAAGGAATGAAGCAAAAATAATATATGAAGAAATAGTGGTTGATAATGTTCTGAACTTTCCAAAATACCAAGACACATATTCAAGAAGCCCTTCAAATCTCAAGCAAGACAAATTTTAGAAAGTTATATCTATTCACATTATAGTAAAACTACTGAAAACCAAAGACAAGGGAAATATCTTAAGATTAGCCATAAAACAAAAATCTCAGATTACCTTCAAAAGAGCAACGATTAGACTGGTAGCTAACATCTTAACAGGAAAAATGGAAGTCAGACAGGGAAAGAATATTCCTAAAATGCTGAGAGAGCATTAATGCCAAATTAGATTTATATACCTGTAGACAATATCCTTCACCCATATAGGTGAAAGAAAGGCATTCTCAGGCAAAAAATTATCACTAGAAAATTCCTAATAGAAGAAATACTAAAAGTTGTTCTTCAAGCAGAATGGAAATTTATCTTCCTATGCGGCGAGAAGAAAAGAAGCAAAAAGGAAAGAGTAAATATGTGAGTAGATCTAAACAGTTTTTGGCTATACAAAATAAAGATAAGAATGGCAAAATATTGAAATATGGAGAGAAATAGGTTGAAAATATATAGAAAGTTGGAATACATGACAGCAATGGAATGTAAATAGCAGTGAGGATAAGTAGGGTTAGGGTTTTAAATCCTGTGAGTTGTCTAGGAAGACAGTAAAAGGACTAATTCTTAGTAGACTTTGAAAAATGTAGAATGTATATTGCAATTTATAGGGTAATCACTAAACAATAGTAAATTAGTACAATTTTCAAGCTAATAGAGGAAAATGGAATGATTTAAAAAATTCAATAAATCCAAAAAAAGATAAGAAAGAAATTAGAACATAGAGTAGGCTGGTAAAATAGAAAGCACAGAATAAGATAAGAGATTAAGCCCTAAATGTATTAGGTATTACATTACATAAAAACAGACTAAATGCTTCAATTGAAACATAAATATTGCAAGATTGGGTGAAATTAACAAAAATGAAAAGTAAAAAATATGCTATTCAGAAAAGTTATATCTAAAACTTGAACTTACAGAAAGTTTGGAAGTATGAGAATGGAAAATATTTATTATGGAAACACTAATCAAAAGAGAGCTGGTAAACACTATCTACAAAAGCAAACAAACATCATAGTTAATGCTGAAATATTGGGAGTTTTCCACCTGAGATCAGGTAACAAGAAAAGGATGGCCACTATCATCACTTTTACTCATCACCATACTGGAGGTGCTAGACAGTACAATAAGGGAAGAAAAAGAAATAAAAGGTACAAGAATTGGAAAGGAAGAAAGATAACCAAAATTCACATATAAAATGATTGCATATGTAGAAAATCCAAAAGAATCTGTAAGTAAACTATTAAAATTAGTAAGTGATTTCAACAAGGCCACTCAATACAATGTCAATATATTTTAAAAACTCACTCTATTCCTGTACACCAGCAGCAATTAGAAAATGAAATTTCAAAAACCAAGCCATTTAGAATAGCATTGAAAACCCATCAAATCCTGAGAATAATACTCAAAATATGTGAAAATCTGAAGATGAAAGTTCAGACATTATTGAAAGAAATTTAAAAGACCTAAATAAATAAAGAGGTATATCAGTTTAATGAGTTGGGAAACTCAATATTGTAAATATGTTCATTCTCTCCAAATTCATTTATAGATTCATTGCACTCCCAGTCAAAATCCAAACAGGTGTGGTGTGTGTGTGCATGCATGTGTGTGTGTGGGTGTGTGTTGATTGGCAAGCTTATTTTTTTTTCTTTTAAAATTCAAGTTTATTGAGGAATAATTTACAGACAGTAAAATTCACCATTTTTAAATGTATAATGTGTTGAGTTTTGGCAGATGTGTAGAATAATGTAACTATCCCAGTTGAGATATAGAACATTTCTATCATCCCAGCGAGTTCTTTTGTGCCCCTTTGTAATCAGTCTCCTTCCCAGGTACCACCATAGCCTATAGCAACCACTGATTTGCTTCCTGTCCCTGTAGTTTAGTTTTTTCAGAATGTCACTGAGTGGTATCATACACTATACAGGATTTTGTGCCCAGCTTTTTTCACTCTATAATGCATTTGAGCATCTGTGTTGCAGCATGTATTATTACTCTTTATTGCTGAGTAGTATTTCATCATATAGATGTACCATAATTTGTATATGTACTCACCAGTTGATAGACATTTAGGTAGTTTTCAGTTTGGGACTATTAAAATAAAGCTGCCATTGAGTAGTCACACACAGGTCTTTGTGGGAGCATATGTTTTTACTTCTCTTGGGTAAATACCCAGGAATGGGATTTCTGGGTTGTGTGGTAAGTGTATGCATAACTTTACAAGAAACTGCCAAATTGTCTCCCAAAGGGAGTATATCATTTTGCATTCCTACCAGCAACATATGAAAATTCTAGCTGCTCCTCATTCTCCCCATCACTTTGTATAACCTGTATTTTTAGCTTTACCCGTTCTAATGGTCATGGCATGGTAGCCTAATTTGCATTTCCAATAATAACTAATGATGTTCAGCATCTTTTTATGTATTTATTTGCCATCTGTATTTTTTATTTGGTGAAATATCAAATCTTTTGCCCATTTTAAAAATTAGGTTGTTGTTTTCTTGAGTTGTGAGTTTTTTCTGTATTCTGGATACTATTCCTTTATCAAGTATGTGTTTTACATATATTTTCTCCTAGTTCATGGCTGTGTTTTCATTTTTTTTTTCTTGGAGTGTTGAGGCTTTATTTCACACTGGCAGGCTCAGAGGGGAGTAATCTCCCAAAAAGTCCGAGCCCCAAACAAAGGAAAAGGGAGCAATTTATACAGTTCTGCTTCCTTATCTGTAACATTCCTACGTGCGCAGCAAGCAAGCAGGCAAGGGGGAGGAAGTTTAGGGAGTGAACCTTGGGAACCAGTGCTTACAGAGCGGGAAACCAAGGGAGTGTTTTTTTGTTTGGGTTGAGGAGGGGGGCGAGATGGAGGGGAGCCACCTCATAAATTACTGTCCTTGTAGTGTTGTTTGTGTTGAGGAAGGGGGTTGAGACAGAGTGGAGTCACCCGCTAGGTTGCTGTCCTTGTAAATTTTCCCTATCATTCCCCCTTCAAACACTTAGTTTTTGGGTTTTTTTTTTTTTTGAGAGGGCATCTCTCATATTTATTGATCAAATGGTTGTTAACAACAATAAAATTCTGTATAGGGGGGTCAATGCTCAATGTACAATCATTAATCCATCTCAAGCCTAATTCTCGTCAGTCTCCAATCTTCTGAAGCATAACGAACAAGTTCTTACATGGTGAACGAATTCTTACAGAGTGAATAAATTCTTACATGGTGAACAGTACAAGGGCATTCATCACAGAAACTTTCGGTTTTGATCATGCAATATGACCTATAAACCATCAGGTCAAATATGAATATTCATTTGATTTTTGTACTTGATTTATATGTTGATCCCACATTTCTCCTATTATTATTATTATTTTTATTTTTAATAAAATGCTGAAGTGGTAGGTAGATGCAAGATAAAGGTAGAAAACATAGTTTAGTGCTGTAAGAAGGCAAATGTAGATGATCAGATGATCAGGTGTGTGCCTATGGACTAAGTATTAATCCAGGCTAGACAAGGGCAGCAAGACATCCACGGATGCAGAAGATTTCTCTCAAAGCAGGGGGGGTGAGGTTCTGAGCCTCACCTCTGTTGATCCCCAAATTCTCACCTGATGGCCCCCCTGCGACTGTGCCTGTCTTAGGTTGTTCCTCCCTTGAGGAATCTTACCCGTCTCTGGCTAACCAGTCATCTTCCGGGGCCATACAGGGAAATGTAAAGTTGGTAAGTGAGAGAGAAGCCATATTGTTTGCAAAGGTTAGCTTTTTACTTCTTTGCAGATTTATGCCCTGTGGCTTCTATGCCCAGCACTTGTCTCGAGGTATCTTTACCACCTGGAGGAATTATGATACTCGGTAAATTCGATATGAGGCACGAATTCTATTTAAGGGTTGTAATTAGGAAGGAAGAAGAAAAGCTATAGATGTAGCATATGAAGGAAACTTGGGAGGATTGATTATTTCTTTGACATATCTTCTTGTATAGTACCTTAAGTATGTATAGGTTTTAAACTACTAACTAATTTGCACACACATATTAACATAATAGGAATACGGTGACATAAACAAAGCAAATCTATAATTACCATCCATCTCCAGTGAAGCCAAGAAAACCATTTAGGCACCCTAGGCATTTGTGAAAATTTGTCTATGATATGATGGATATTGTCCAACTGTACTTGAACAGTCTGAGAGAAATCAGACAAATTAAAGCAGCCCATTTCTGGGATCTGTTCACATCCCATATGTTCTTTTAACCGTAGATAGTCTATAGTCATAAGATTTTGGAGTGCTACAACTTGCACCCCTCCCAACTCCTGGTTGAGTTCCAACAGTACAGATTCGGTCAAATTCGTTGTCTCACTGTATGCACATGCCAGCCTAGACATCTCCCTCCTCATTCCAATGGCAAGTCCAGGAAACGGTGGGGTGGATGCAGCCACAACCGCAGCATCGCCCAGATCCCTGTGGAGGCTTTTTGTTGATCATCCCCCTGGCACAAGTCCTCCAGAGAGTGCTGATGCTGGAAGCTCCTCCTCATATCGTATCTTAGTTCATTTTCTGGGTAGCCAAGCTAAGCCTTGATCTTCTGCATAGAAACAAACACACCCTTTGGATTGGCAAGCTTATTTTGAAAAAAATGTATAGAAATACAAAGGGCCAAGAATAACCAAGAAAATCCTGAAAAAGAACAGTAAATAAGATTTATACTACTAAACATTGAGAGGTATTATAAAGCTACAGTAATTATGACAGGGTTCAAGGACATTGGTGCACGGATAAAAAAATAAACCAATGGGCAAATAGAAAGTCTGGAGATAAACCCATACATATATGACAACAGTTGATCCAAAGGTGACACTAGTGTAGTGGGGAAAGGATAGTCTTCTCAAGAAATGGTGCTGGATCAACTGGATATCCATAAGGGGAAAAAGTTGAATCTTGATTCTTATTTCACACCACCTACTAAAACAAATTCCAGGTCAATTCCTAAATGTGAAGGGCAAAACAATAAAGCTGCTAGAAGATAATGTAGATAATCTTCATGAACTATGGTATGGGAAAATTATTTTTAAAAGAATAAAACAAAATAAAGGAAAATATTGATAAATTTATCTTAATCAACATGTTATTATGTAAGTGAAAAATCAAGCCATACATTTTTTAAAACTTTTATTAAGGTATGATTGATATACACACTTATGAAAGTTTCACATGAAAAAACAATGTGGTTACTACATTTACCCATATTATCAAGTCCCCACCCATACCCCAATGCAGTCACTGTCCATCAGAGCAGCAAGATGCCACAGATCCACTATGTGCCTTCTCTGTGCTAAACTGTTCTCCCCGTGATCCCCCACACCATGTGTACTAAACATAATACCCCTCCATCCCCTTCTCCCTCCCCACCTGCCCTCCCACACCCCTCCCCTTTGGTAACCACTAGTTCATTCTTGGAGTCTCTGAGTCTGCTGCTATTTTGTTCCTTCAGTTTTCAAACCATATATTCTAAATGTTAAAACTTGATGATATAAAAAAGAAAACTATAGATTAATCCCACTAATGAATATACATGCACTAAATATAATAATAATAAAAATAATCCACAAGTATGGCAAAGAAATAATGTACCAAAACAAGTCAGTCAGTTGCTGCAATGAGAATTCAAGCAGTTCTCAGTTGCAATGTCCCTCTTATACTTATTCCACTTTATACTTATATTTGTTTTCTCTATTCATACTCAAAAACTTTTTTACAGTTATATCTGCATCCTACTCACTTTGTCAGACAGGACGTCATTTTCTTTTGCAGACGCAGGCAAAAATGTTTGATTAGTACTGCTCATGTCTTCAAGCTTTAATAGCATGTTTTGTGTTTCTAGGACACCAATGTCCTATCTTTGTTTGAAAGGCATAGATCACATTGTGTAATTCAGAGAAAAAGATTAGGCAGTAGATTTGAAAATGCTTGAATGCACTGATTAACTCAATCATAGTCATGTATTCTGAGACAGAAGATGTTATGAGTACTTCAATTGTTGACTCAGAATTTTTGATCCAGACCACCTTTTACAAACTGTAAAATTTTCATAGCCCAATGTATATTTTATCCTATCACCATGGTGCTTTAGGGTCTTTCATAATGGACTCATAACACAATTATTAGCATCACAACCTTTCCCGACTCAATGTATGTGCCATCACAGATCTGCTTGGCCTCTGACAACCGCCTTACTTACTAGCCAAAGGAAACTCAGCAATGATCCATACTGTTTCTGCCACTGCCACTGTTGTTCAAGCCACAGTTTGAAGAATGACCTAATAAAGTGTCACCTAACAAGAAGAAACTATTGCACCTGCAAACTATCCAGACTAAACCCATGAAAGAAGAGTGGAATTAATGCCCGGACTTCAACCAATGGAGCCGGCTAAGTTCCCTTGAGAATGACTTTTCTAAGAATGGTTACTATTTTCATTGCTATCTTTTTACATTTATTTTACATCGCATTCCAGACTAAAGGTTTCCTCTGGTTTCTTTTCCTAAACTGTGGCTCTTCCTTAGCTCTAAACCAGAATAAATTGTTGCCTTCTTAGGGTGCAGAAAACTCAGATAACGGTCCCTGGTCTGGCCTACCCTGAGATGTGGTATTAAGCAGGACGACAGATACTTGCTTTTCAGAATGGTATGCCTCCACGCTTAACCTTCCACTGGGTCCCTCTCAGGCCTTGTGCTAAGGTCTTGGACAATGTGTGGGGGGGGGATAGATCGGAGGGGAGGGAGGAGGCAGGGCAGAGGGACAGAAGCTTTATTGGAGAGGTAACCTTCCTCTTATAGGTTCATGTACGTGTAATTTAATCTACCATTGAGAGTATGCTAAATGTAACTCTCTGGCCCTGTTGACCATTTACATTTTAAAAAATGAAAAAGTGTACAATTTTGCTTATATGTGGAGTCTAAAAAATGAAACAAAAAATAGCAAAGAAACAAAACAGAAGCAGACTCATAAATACAGTGAGCAGACTGGTAGTTGCCATAGGGGAGGAGGATGGGGGGCTGGGTAAAATACTTGAAGGGGGAAAAAGTTAGTATGTTTGCTATCTTCATCTAGATGATGGTTACATGAGTGTACACATATGTCAAAATTCAAGTTGTATGCTAAGATCTGTGCATTTTATTGTATGTACCTCAATAAAAATAAATAAAAAGTAAAATAAAGTTTTGTTACTTTAAAAAAAACGAAAGAGTAGGTATAATACAAGCATCTTTGGGCATAGAGCCTCCTGTTTGTTGAGCATTTATGAGTTCACAAAAGACATGCCATATTATCAAATGAACTAGAATTTCTTTTTGGAAATAAGAAACAGAATGATAATTTATGTTACTATAAAAGATAGGATTACCAAGTAGACTAGATTCTTAGTGTTTGCTGCTCAGAACCTTCTCTCATTAAGATCAGTCTACATCAGAAGCCAAATTATCATCATACAGTTGTGTATTTAATGGGAAATGAGGGAAAGCTGACTTAGCTAGATATTAGTGTTGTCAAAGAAGGTGGATATATCATTCATTTAGTGTTGCTCATGTTTTTTGCTCCTGTTTAGATGATCACCTGTAGGTGACCAAATCTTTCGTATCTTCCCTTTATGGTTCCTAGGTTTTTGGTCATGCTGAGGAAGGTCCTTCCTACCTCTAGTTATAAAAATAGACTCTTGTTTCCTTTGAACTTTTTATAAACATATTTCAATGTCTTCCTTTCTAATTTTTGTGTTATATGTTAGAAATGCAGTTGTGTTTGTTATGAAGTAGATGTCTATTCCCAACACTTCTCTTTCCCAAACAGCATACTTTGTGGAAGGACTTTTTTTATTCCATTGGTCTTTGGTTACTTGTAAAATGTTATTTTTCTCCATAAGAAGAAATATTATTTTTGTTTGCTACTTTTGAGACATGGTACACTGAGCTACTATTGGTAATGTCTTACATTATACAACTCATTTTTTTAAAAGTAGAGTTAATAGTTTGGGTGACTTCTTAGCTCAAGACTAGAAAACAGGGCCCAGAGCAAAAGTTTACCTTGGGATGTATAATACAAAGAACTAACTGTGAGAGGAAAATGGAAGTAAGGTTAGGAAAGAGGGAAAGCAAATACAAGAGAGTGAACTTTTCAACAAAAGCACAACTGATTACATCATATGATGTCTTCAGTAAGGGAATAAAAATTACAGCATCTAAGAATAGTCTCTCTTTAGAGAAGGAATGGCCAAAAATTTTTCTGACACCTTTCTTGAGTAGGCAGTCTTCATTGGTCAAAGTTCACTCCAGAGAACATAAAATTTGTCTGAACCACAGCAACTTGTTAAATCTACACTTGAGATGTTTTTTGAAACAAGGCCAGTAAAATTTGAATTAAAAAAAAGAAAACTAGTTTCCTGAACCTTAAAATATTATGCTTTGGGTGACAATTTATATAAAAACTATACTTCAGCATTGTAAAGTTGCCTTTGAACACATTTGACAGGGATAGACCCACTTAAATTCCTGAAACTGTTAGATGAGCACAGAACCCAAACAGCAAGTTATCCTCTGAGTTTCTAATTCCCTTGGTTTCCCAGGAGCTTCCATTCTCTCTGTCCCCCGGAGCAGCCACAGTCCTAGCACTGTGCCCTTTCCAAAGTGACTGAGAGGCATCCCTCAAGATATGACAGCATTGGGACATCAGCGTGTGGCTGGGCCAGCCATGTGGCCTGCCTGGACCAGGCAGCCACACCTTTGCCTCACAAGCACTCTCCAAAGCCCAGGTGATTCGGTTCTAAAAGCTACCTAGTGTGGGATGACATCAGTACATGCAGAGCACACAGCGCTGTGCCACACTGCTAAGACTCATTCCTTCTCAGTTTCTGTTCAACAAGCGTTCCAAAAAATCTTGACATCCAGTCACACCCAGGGCACCATATTGTCACAGCCAGGATAACTATTACTCTGTATTAAAGGTCCACTGGTGCATGACCTGGTGTCATGGGAATTAAACAATCACCCCAAAAGACACAGAAGCACAGAGAGCACTTCTGATAATGTGCCAGGAGGAGGAAACAAAGGGAGAAGTGTGAGGGAGGGAGAGGGAAGGAAGGAGAGGAGAAGAGAGACTGGAGAACAGATGGACACTGGGCTGGCCTGTGCCCCTGACTCAAGGTGGCTTTGTGTTACTCAGGATAGCCTCATTTACACCCTAGGCACCCACATCACTCAGCATCCTGTTTCCAACATATCAGGAGAGAAGTCATTATTATTTGCTCCATTCCCAAACCGCTCATCCTACCTGACACATAGGAGCAACAAGATACATATCAGTTCCTCTATTCCTCTACTGAGCCTCACCTATTGGCAACTCCTAAAACTTCACTCTTTCTTCTACGCCTTGCTCTGTGGTTATCTATGAAGCTATGGACTTGACATAAAGAATCTCAATTCCATCTGTCTTCATCAAGTGTAGTTTTATGTTGAGACTCTATGGACACCTTATACAGATGTTTGGCTCCATACTAAGCAATTTTAAAGCAACCAATTGCTTGAACCTGAAAGGCCACTGGCTCTGCCTCTTACTAACAGAGTGATCTTGGGACTCTTACCTAACTTCTCCATGTCTTTTTTCTTCTACAATAAAAGATATAATAATACTTACCTTACAGGATTGTTGAAGAGATTTGAGTGTTTGGGGAGGGGAAACTACATAAAATGCCAAACAGTGTCTGACAAATATTAGGCCCCACTCACCTCTTTTCTTGTGTAATATGCATGTCTTTGACATAAATGCACTGCTTATCAAATTTGAGCAATATTCTAAAAAAGAGAAAACTCAAGAGCTTCTAGTATTGTCTGAAACTATTATTATTATTATTATTATTATTATTATTATCTTACTTAAATATTTACAGACCTAAAACCAGGCACAGGTGCTTTGATTCTAGCTCTTATAGGAGAGGGAAAACTTTTCCTCTCTCCATCTTGAGGTCTGAGCTGAGACTCTGAAAAAAGATAAAGATGAGAAAAAGGTACCAATTTAATTAACATAAGTTTTATTTGACATAGGAGCCTTTATAAAGAAATGAAGATCCAAAGAAGGCAAAACTAAATTCTTAAATATTAGGTTGAAGGAGGAGAGGCAATTATGTAAAAGTAACTAAAATATGGGGAGGCTAAAGGAAGATAGGTTATTTAGCAAAATCTATTTGTACAGAATTCTCTCAGCCTCAAATACCTATGTCTGTTGATAAGAATGTGTCTTTCCTCCTGGTTTCAGAAGGACAACTTTCACACTGGATTTTTATTTAATGCCTTCAGGAAGAAAAGGGGACGTCAGAGTGTCCTTCTTGTAACTGTTTTTTTTTTCAAGAGCTTTTAATTCAAAATAATCCTTATGCCAAAGTGGCATACTTTGGGGTGTCATATCTCCTCACCTTCATTCTCAGGCAAATGTAAAACAAAAACCACAAATTAAAAACAAATCATTAAAGGCAGACAGAGAGAGAAAAAAGTTCACCTACAAAGGAAAACCCATCAGGCTATCATCAGGCTTCCCAACAGAAATCTTACAGGCCAGAAGAGAATGGCATGATATATTTAATGCAATGAAACAGAAGGGTCTTGAACCAGGAATACTATATACAGCATGATTATAATTTAAATATGAAGGAGGTATTAAACAATTCCCAGACAAGCAAAAGTTGAGGGAATTTGCCTCCCACAAACCACCTCGACAGGGTATTTTAGAGGGGATGCTCTAGATGGAAGCACTCCTAAGACTAAACAGATGTCACCAAAGAAAATAAAATCACAGCAAAGAAAGCA